AAATTTCCTGATAACATCTCCATAAATGTCCTGTGTTGTGATATTGTTTTAACAATACTCTATAATAGAAATAAGAGTCTTAAAAAGAGGAGAAAATAGTCTAACTTGACTTACTTAAAAAAAGCAAATACTTAAAAAAAATTGTATAATATATGATAGATATTTTTCTTCAGTAAAAAAATTGAGAGTAGATCAGACCCTTAAGGGAAAGTATACCTGGTTTCTAGGAGACTTAACTCACTTTATAAGTAAAAATTACCTTGCTTACCAATGAAGAGAGTCCCTTTTTTATTCATTCTTACAAAAGCAATGGTCTAAGTGAAAAGGATTAAACATTTATTGATAGCTAGTATCTGTGTGTCATATGCCAGGAACTTTGTTAAATATTTCACATGTGCTAGAACATTCATTCTTCACAATTGCTGCCATATCACAGATGAGGAAATGGAAACGCATTGTTTTTGCCCAAGGCATAAAGGTGTAAAGGAAGAACTGGAATTTGAACCCAGATCATTTAACTTCTGACACCAGGGTCCTTCTACTGTGCTAAGTATTCACGATCAAAGAAAGGCTTTGTAGGGAAAGAGAAAAAGTCTTTTTAGGGAAAGTGGCTACATCACAGTTTACAAAGCCAGAACAATTAGCTTTCAGGGTACAAGAACTCCATATACAAACTAATAATAAAAGGAGAAAAAAATCTTTTTGTACAACCCATTTTGGAAGTTTAAGCAAATGCACCCTGAATTTTTTTCCTACATGCAGAAAGGATGTCATTCAGAAAACGTCGGGTCCTTTGAAATGTGAAAAAGATAAAAATCAGCTAGCAATGGCCTCAAGTTTTAAGTGAAGAGCAATCTCTTCCTAAGACAGACCAGCAGCAACTCTGTCCAATAGTCTAAAGTCAGACAGACGTCCTGTGTTTATTAAGTGATGAAGTCTAGTGGAAAAGGCAAAGATTCAGGAGGCAGATGTGGGTTTAAAGCCCATAGGGTATTACCTAGCTGTGTGACCTCGTTTTATTTCTCCACTCCTTCCTTTTCTTTTTCATTAAAAGGAGTATGCATGTTGTGAAGGTTTGAGATAATGTATCAAAAGCGCATGGCTTAGTAGATGCTCAAAAACGGTTGGTAATACGTTGTTGGTTAGGGTGATTAACTCTATAGGAGACAGCCTATATGATTAATGATGACAATTTTGTTGTTTGAGCTCACTGCATTCAATATTTAATACCAAATGATATCTAATATGCTGACAAGCATTATAGAGAAATAAGATAGATAAATACCAAGCCTTTGCTTATAGGAATTTACAACCCAGAAAAAAGATAAATGAAATAACCATAATAGAGTTTGGAAGCAGTTTAGTTTGGTAGGCAAGAGGGCTCAAATAAAGCGTAATGGGAGATAATAATAGTGTTAGTTGAGGCATTTTGGAGGATTTGAATGGCAGGAGAAAGAGTCTTTTCTCAACCTGGTAGAACTAAAAAAAAAAGATTTTTAATTTTGACAGTTTAATCATGTGAAAAAAGTGGTAGCAGAGAGTTGGGTTGACTGTAGGTGTATTGTGTGGACATGGGACAGGGAGCAGCTGAGTGATCTCCCCAAGAGTGAGTCACCACTCAGTGGCTACCCAACAAAGGTACATAAAACGTCCCAGCAACCAGGTCTCACCCGCACTGCAAAAACAGCAGAGAAAAAGAGTTCTCATTAGACCCCAGATATCTAGCTTCCCATGCCCAAAATAGAATACCTAGTACTCCAAATAGCATTTTGATGGAATATCTAATTAAATGCCTGTGCCTAATAATAGTTTAGTAATGCAGTGTAACTCCAATTTCTTTAAAATGATGATCTACTTAAAGAATATTATTAGTATTTGCAGGATTTATTTTAATCATGAATCTTCAACATACAGGACAGGAAACAAAAATAGCACTCCTATTGAAAGCTAATGTGTCAGTAATTTGAAGATTTCCTGTGACTACATTAAAAGCATCTTATTAATGCATTATATAATTTGTTAGAGAAGCTACATATCCTTCAGTGAGCAGAGCATGTTCAGCCTTGGAGATGTGCTTCAGTAAATACGCAGATAAGAGAGATACATAAGCATGTAAGTGACGTACCTAAGGCTGCTTAGCAGAGTGTATGACACACAGAGAGTGTCCCCAGATAATAGGTGTTGTTGCCCTGAAGCTCACTTCAATACATCTTCTCCTCCAATTTTATACTGGCCAAATTAACTCATACTTTGAACAAAAAGTTATTTATTCTAAAATAAGCAAAGTATATTGTAAATCTGTAGAAATGAGTCATCTAAGTTCATTAAATCAAAGGAAAAACTCTCTCATCTACAGGACAATATATACAATGATGCTGGCTTTTCAGCGAGATGAAATCCTGACTCATTAGCTTCGATCACATTCACAATAGTGGATTTATTAAAGGATGGGGGCGTGTAGAAAGTACACGTATCTATTTTTGGAAAGTTCTCAGCAACTAAGGTTAAAATAGGTTTCTTCTTAAACTCATTAAAATAATTAGGAACCCCCACCCCTTCCTGAGCATCATGATGAATCAGGCTTACCTAGACTTGAAGTTTCCTTCCATGACTCGTGGTTCTTCAAAACTTATTTTAAATTCCTTTTGTTGATTGGTGGGGGTAGGGGATGAGAGGAAGGAAAAATTTAAAAATAGGTTATCCTAAAATGTTATGGAATTTCCTGTGGCTCTAAAATGAACCAATGGGGACCAGCAGGTGGCATAGTGGTTAAGGTGCTGGACTCCCACATGGATAAACATGGTGTTTCTCACTTTTCCACTCTCTTTCTGTCTTTCTCTCTCTGGTGAGCTCACATGTCCTGTAGCAAATTAAAAAAAAAATACTGATAAATAAAATTAAATAATTCTTAATAAATAAAATGAAACAAATGCCCACTTTTCTTCATTCTCTTAAACTATGTGTGTATATTCATGTTCAATATATATATTTAAATAGACACAGATAATAATAATAGGGTATGAATCTATTTACATAAAAACCATGTGATTGGAATATTGACCTTATTAAAAGAAGAACTAGGGACAAGCAGATGGAGTAATGGTTATGCTGCTGGACTCCCATATTACTCAACTGCAGTTTGAGTCCTGGACCTGGCGGCTTAAAAAATTCATGCCGGACATGTGTGAGTGTGTGCCCAAAATCCCAAGAAGAGAATCAAGGAGAAGGGATTGCAGCATGGCTATCCCCCTTGGGGGGTGATGTCTTGCTTTCTGTCTCTCTCTTTCTGTGTCTCTCCAGCGAGCACATGTGCCTATAGCAAAAATCTCTTTAAAAAGTCTCTCATTGAGACTGATTTAGTAAAAATGGTTAACAGTCCTCATGGAATCATCTTGCATAGTGTCTAATTTAGCAACTGGAGAGAAATCATCTTCTTAGGTTTCTTGTCTACTTCATGTAGGTAACTTTGCTTGGTTTTTAGAAAATCAGTCACCTGATCCCAGATAATTAGGTGAGGTTGGGGGGGGGGGATTGAGAAAAAAAAAAAAGGAATGGGTAGATGCCTGAGTTGATCAACTCATCTGATTGTACCCCCAAATTCCATAAACACTAGCCACAGCACACTGGGAACACTTGATCTGATCTGGCCAGCTAAGACTAGGGGCAGATCATAGTGTCTGCACCCTTTTGGAGGTACCTGTCTCTTTCTGCCTATCTCTTTAATAGAAGAAATAAATAATCATAAAAGAAATTTAGCAAACTCATATACTATAAATTGTCTTCATTTTTAGTAAACTTTATGTATTTTTCAATGTTTATCACTATTTTCTTTTTAAGTTGCCCGATGGTATGTACACTTAAGAGAGAGACTCAGAGGAGAAGGACGTGATCGGGCTATAGTAATTTCTTTTCCATTTCTCCCTCCTGTTGGGATCTGGGGCATGTGCACACAGGTACCTGGTATGTTTATCACTATTTTTATAATCTTATTATTTGTATCTAATTACACAACTCACTCTTTTTTACTATTTAGTTATTATTTGTTTTCATTTGCTATAGGGTACACACACTCACCAGGGAAAGATAAGAAATAAAGCAAGCTGCTAGGTCCAGGACTCGAACCATGGTCAAACATATAGGAGTCAAGCACCTGAACCACCATGCCACCTGCTGCTTCTGACACAATTTACTCTTTGTAAAGATTCAACAGATACAAATGCTATGTCAAAGCATTTCCTGAGGCACAAACACCATTTTAAAAATGAATGGAAGCTTTCCAGAGATGATTTACCCATAGCAGACATTAGTGAACTCACCAGCATTTCCTGTTCTCTGTCCTCCAACCACATGGCAAGACCACCCTTCTCTTGAAATTAAGAGTGGCCATGGGAACCAGCAGTTAGCGTAATGGCTATGCCGCTGGACTCCCACGTAGTCGACCGCGGTTCGCGTCCCGGACCCGGTGGTTAAAACCCACGTTGGGCGTGTGTGCATGTGTGCCCAAGATCCCAAGAGAAGTATGGAGGAGAAGGGATTGCGGTGTGGCCATCCCCTCTGGGGGGTGATTTCTTGCTTTCTGTCTCTCTGTCTGTCTGGTGAGCGCATGCGCCCTATAGTGAAAAAACTCTCAAGAAAAAAAAAAATCAAGAGTGGCCATTTGCCTAGTTCTGAAAACTGGGATGTGGCCATACTGACATGTGTGATATGCTGGTGCCTGGAGCTGGTGTGAGGCTCTCCAGTGTACTCTCCTGTAGTGTGGCAATTGCCAACATTGCAGAAGGTTGATGCTCCATCAGCCGGTGACTGGGTGTGGATGACAGGAGTAGGCTGCCCTGCCAACCAGGGATGGGTCTGGAGCACAAGTGAGAACTCTGTCATATCACTGCAGTTTTAGGGTTGTTACTGCAGCATGACCTCATTTGTCCTAATATACCTTCTTTGCTTGGAAAAGACAGAGTCTGGGATGTATGTTTTAAAAAAGACACAGAGGTGTAGTATGCTAAGTGGCACTGTAAAATTTATTTGTCTTTATGATTTATGCATAGTAATTGGACAAACAAAAGAACAATCACTATCAAGATGGCCATATGTAGCTTAGGAAATGGCTGGTCCCAGTTCAGTCATACACATGTTCATTCTGCTTAGAAATGAGTTTCTTGTTAATGGTTTTAATCTTTCCTTTTTTTTTTTTCCAGTCCCCAAGGTTTGTACAGTTCAGCACAAAAGTTTTTGCTATTTCTTTATTATCAAACACATGATGTTTACCAATTCTTGGGAAATAAATGAAATCTACAAAAAAAAAAAAAAAAAAAAAAAGTCCTGTGACAAAAAAGACATTTTCACAGAAATTAATTTGAGGAAGTTATTACTGATTGATTTAGTTTTGCTATCAGACATACACATGAAACAATATTCACAAATCACATTTGTCTTAAGATTTCATTTCTTTTAAAATATTTATTATACTTTTAAAATGCAAGGCTTCCATTGATTTCTTTGGTTTTAAACATTATAACTCTGCTTGACCTAAATATATATAGTTCTGTTTGTACCAAACATCAAAAATTTAAAAATTTAACAAACTCTCAAAAGTTAAAAATGGAATTATTGCTATTCATATAAAAAACGCCTTGCCCATTTGGGTGCTACTGCTATTATTGCTTTGTTTGTGTGGGAAAACTATCCCAGAAATCAAAGATGTATCCACAGCTCCCTGCTTAAAGCACAATTTGATTGTATATTATGATCTATTAACATGTCTTTACCTTCATCAAAGCTATCCTGATCTTGTCCTTAAAAAAACAAACAAAGTGAAATAGCATAAATAAATAAGTTTACCTAAGGGGAAACAATAAATAGGCTCCTACATAGGAATAAAGAATATGGTAACATAAAGCCCTCCAGTGCTGTACAATTAAACAATAGCTTTGGAATTTTAAGGTCTCTAAACACAGCCCTTGCTTATAACACACTTATTGCTGTATGCAGCTGACACAGAGAGAAAAGAATACATTTCTGTTGTTCTCATCCTTTAAAAATGAAAACACAGTGGATACAATGGTAAATTCTGCCTTTTGGGAATTTACCTGGATGTGTACCATCATCAGTTTTGGACCTTAGCCTAGTGGTAGAGCATAGATCATAGGGATTTAAAAAAATCCTAACATTCCTTCAATTCTTAGTGGTCTCTTGGTCTTCAGAGTAAGTATAAAAACAGAAGCAATTAGACTCAAAAATTTTGCTGCCTTCTTTTCTTTGCATCCATTGCGTCCAGAATGGGCTGTCTCTTCGCAGTGTATCTTTGACGAAGTTCTTCTATTTCTCGTTCCATCATGGGATCCAGTGCTTTTAATCGCATCTGTAGTTCTTCTAAACTTAAATTTTTTAACTAGGTATAGACAGAAAAACAGATATTAACACAGAATTATTTATAATAGGTTGAAATCTAATGAGTTTTAGCATAAATATTTCAGAAAATTCTTAACATCATCTTGAAATGTGCTTCAATAATTAAAAAAACAGGAATTCCTTCCCTGAAGAATCCAGAACTTGCAAGCAACTTGAAACAAACAAAAAAATCAAAACCTTTGCTTTTAGGAAAGAGTAAATAAGAAAACCAAGCTGAGACCAGCAGTTGGCATAATGGTTATATTGCTGGACTCCCACATAATCAACCACAGTCCCAGACCTGGTGCGGTGGCTTAAACTCATGCCAGGTACGTGTGCGTGCGTGCCCAAGATCCCGAGAGGAGAATGGAGGAAAAGGGATTGCAGCATGGCCAGCCCCCCTGGGGGGTGATTTTTCGCTTTCTGTCTCTCTGTCTCTCTGTATCTTTTTGTCAACTGCACGTGCCCTATGGCAAAAACCTCTCCAAAAAAGAAAAAGAAAAAGAAAAAAGAAAAACAAGCTGATGAAGTAATTCTGCTAAAAAAAAAAAAAAAACAACAAAACTGGCACAAAGACAAAGCCACCACCACCACCACCAGCAAGAAGACTTTCAGGACACTCACCTGAAAGTGATCTCTTATATGTTTGAGAGCTTTGGTGGGCTACAGTAACTATGAATACTCCCGGAGATCACCCAAGAATGTGCCAGATTAAATAAAGGTTAAATGAACAGTTCTAGCCTCCATTTTACCAGATGTTTCCATTTTAAGCACTCAATCAGAAAATTAAGTTATCCAGAATATAGTTACCCTAAGCATTTTGATAAAATAGGGTTGTTAATTTATGATTCAAAATACCACAACCTAACATCAACTGCTGTGTGAGCTCTGATGTGGGCTTAGACAATTTGAAAATTAAGTAGCTGTCAAGGTTTTACTGTCTACGTTATAGTTTGATTATGCTGGCTGCTGGGGACAATGGCATGTTCTTTACTGGTTTTCTGTAGACCAGCAGGAGAGAAGCCTCATGCCATGCGTTTCAGAGGATAAAATCTGTTCTGCTACATAATGGGATCTATGGCATCCTGAGCTTTACTATATTTATTTACATATTAAGCCAGCAAGATATGGATTATATCCTGAAAAGCATACTTTATGGATGTCATCTGAGGACTTATGAGAAGCTCTGAAATATATAACCTAATATACTGTGTTTTTACCTTATTAACACTAAAAAAAAAATCTCTATCTCCTTTAAAGACTGAGTATTAAAGCAATACTGGCAGCTGTGTGGTTTAAAAACTCAGTGAAACCACAAGGACTTACAGAAGCTATCACGTACTCAGCCTCTTGGCAGGTAGTTTAAGGAAGTAAAGAAGCACTAAGCTACTTGCTTGTCCTTAAGAAACTTAGAAATCAGTTGGACAGATAACACTAGCAGTTAGAAACATTTAAGGACTGACGCAAGGCCTATGTAATTAAGGCTCATGGTATGTGGTACAGATTATTAGTGAGAGGTGTTTAACTCAAGTCCAAGAATAAGCAAATGGGCAATGGGCAAAATTCTGCACATTCATGAGTGCATTCTTCCTGAAGAGGGCATCTGTTTGTTTGTTTGATATGTTCTTTTAAACAGACTCTGAAAAAAAAAGGGGGGGGGACCTCATTTACTATAAATGCAATGGAACTTGGATTCCCTTCTGAGAGCACAGACGGTGCTGGTCCTTGAACAAGGCCCTCAGAGCAGTGTGCAGGGCCGAGGAGGAGGGCCTGGCAAGTGAAGTAGAAGGAGTAAGCACATCACAGAAAGAAGGTCTGAGAAGAGGACTCTTGTGTAGAGGGTGCAGGAAGTAAGGCTGGACTGAAACCTAGGCAAAGCAGGGTTTGGACTTCAGGAAGCCATAGTCACTTCTGCAGCAGGTAAACTTCGAAAGAGTAGTTCAAATGTGGCTTTAAAAATCATAAAACTTGCAGCTTATTTTTTGTTTTAAGAAGATAATGGTCTTTTGTAATGTTATGAGTCAAGCTAGAAAAAACACTCATTACTTATAGTCACTAAAAACAGTAACCCAAAATAGCATTTCTCAGCTGATCATCCACTTTACTCATCATACCTGGCCCTAAGTGACTCCCGCTTCCAAAATTCAAATCCAATCTCAGCTGAAAAAGATTCTGAGGATACTGAAAAGAATGAGTCATAGACACTAAAGGAAATTCAAAAGAGGAGTTCCAAAAATATTTTGAGGAAGGGCAGTGTTATGGAAAGAGTATACAGGCTCCCAGGATGGTGACTCTGAAGATGAACACCACTTGCTTTGGTTATATGATGTGTAAAATAAGCCCTATTATTTTTCAGTCACATGCCATAAAATCATCTAGCCTCTTTTTTTTTTTTTTTTTTTTTAGTTTTTGCCATAGGGTGGATGCACTCACTGGGCGGGGGGTGGGGGATGAGAGACAGAGAGTGAGAAATTACTACACAGGGGATGGCCATGCTGCAATCCCTTCTCCTTTAGGGATTTCAGGCATGCATGCACATGTGTTCAACATGTTTTTCAAGCAGCCAGGTCCAGAACTTGAACTGCACAGTCAGCCATGTGGGATCCAGCCTCCCTAACCTCTATACAACCTGCTGGCCCAAGAATCTAGCTTTTTATATTAAGCTATAACACTATACATTTATATATAATATGTAGTATTATATTATACAGTTATACACTGCATAATGATGTGTCAGTTATTGCTGGACCATGCATCCAATGGTGGTCCTGTAAGAAGCACAGTCTATACCATACAACCTAGAAGTGTGTGGTACCTAGGTCTGCCCAAGTACACTCTATGATAGTTGCACAGTGACAAAACTGCCTAATGATGCATTTCTCAGAACATACTGCTTTCATTAAGTAATGCATGGCTATACTTCCTTTGCTAATTTTTAATCCAGTCATGCATTTGTTACACAGCACTATTCAGGTCACTGTCGGGATAAAGAATAAGCTAACAGGAAACCTCCAAACTTTCTAAGTGTATAAAAGGGATGGTGAGTAGAAGGGCCAACGTAGACCACACAATCATGCTTCCCTGAGAAAGAATCCCAGCTGTGTCCACACAGGGCCTAATTTCATTTTGCATTCTTCAAGACATTATCTCTGTTTCAGCCTGTATTAATCTTTCTAGTCTCTGAATTTCTAGGTAACATTTGTAATTTAAACAATATGATTTAGTGTTTAATCCTAGAGTCATGTAATTTTTCATAATTGATTTTTTTTAGGGGGGAAGAGATTTTTGCAATAGGGAGCATGCACTTGCCAGAGACATAGAGACAGAGAGACAAAAAATGAGATATCATACCCCAGGGGGGATGGCCAAGCCACAATCCCTTCTCCTTGTTCTCCTCTCAGGATTGTGAGCATGCATGTACACACATGTGGTGTGAGTTTCAATCTGGCAGGTCTAGGACTTGAACTGTGGTCAGCTATGTGGGAATACAGTGCCTTAACCACTAACACCACTTACTGGTTTTTATAACTGATTTTTAAGCATGAGTTTCCTGCCCCTATTTCAGATATTTCAAAACATACTTAGACTTTAGAGACTGTACACACTCCCAGAAACTATCCAACTATACTGCTAAATAATGTGACATGAAGGTACTTTGATAAATAAGAACATATGATGCATAGGATTAGCAGGTGGCATGGTGGCTAATGTGCTGAACTCCCACATAGTTGACCATGGTCTGAGTCCCAGAACTGGTAGCTTGGAAATCATGCTGGGCACATGTATGCATGCCCAAAAATCCTGAGAGGAGTTTGGGAGAAAAGGAATTATGGTATGGTCAATCCACCCAGAGGGGTGATTTCTTACTTTCCCTCTTACTCATCTCTCTCTGACAAGTGTATCCACCCTATGGGGACAAACCTTAAAAAAAAAAAAGGGTCAAATAAAGACATCTGTACCCCAATATTTACTGCAGTAGTATTCAGAACAGCCATGATATGGAATTAATCTAAGTGTCTATCAACAGACAAATGGATAAAGAAAATGCAGTATATGTTTGTATGTATATATATATGTGTATGTATGTATATGTATGTATGCACGTATGTATACACAGAATGGAATACTCTGCAGTCACGTAAAAGAACAAAATCTGGTCATTTGAGGCTAAATGCATGAGCCTGGAGAGCATTATGTTAAGTGAAATAAGCCAGGCACAGAAAGAGAAATATTACATGCAGTCCCTTATACATGGAAACTGGAAAATAAAATGACTTCTCTAGAAGTCGAGATAACTAGAGGCTGAGAGGGGTAAGGAGGTGAAAAGAGAGATGTTGATTAATGAGAATAAAATTACAGACTGATAAGATAAGCAATGTTTAGTGTTCTAAAATACTACAAAGAAAATACAGTTAAAAACAAATTATCATATATCTCAGAGTAGCTAAAAAAGAGGGTTTGGGCTAGCCTGCGGCCTGGTGGTTAAGACTGACTGTACGGTTCCAGGGCTATACCCAGCAGCTTGAAAAACAACCCAATGTGTGTGCATGTGTGCATGCCCAAAATCCCCAAAAAGGGTGAAACGAAGGAGAAGGGACTGCAGTGTGACTTTTCTCCAAGGAGGGTGCTTTCTCCTTCTCCCTCTTTCTTTGTCCATCTCTTTTTGGCTAAAACATGTACTTTCTGACAAATTTAAAGCATTAAATAAATAAAAGTAATATAAAAAAATTTAAAAAGAATTTTGAATGTCCCCAAAACAAAACAATGACAAATAGTTGAGATGACAGGTATACTAATTACCTTGATTTAATCATTACACATTGTAGTCACATACTTAAAAATATCCTGTTGTACCCTCACCCATACGTATAATTATAATGTTAACTTAAAAGAAAACAAATGACTTAAATAAATTGTGTTACTTTAGGATCAGAACAAACAGGATGTCATACAAAGCAAATAATTATCACTGCTTACACTTTTTTTGCACAATGACATTTC